CGGCTCAGTAACGGATTGGTGGTGGGGGGGGCAGGAGGGAGCTGCTGCTAGCACTATCTTCAGGGATTTCTGTAATATGAGATCTACCACCGAACTAGGTCTTATTTTTGGGGTAGGTCTTATATTACAGAAATCCCTGAAGATAGTGCTAGTTCTTACTTTCGGGGAAACACGGTATATATAGATATATATAGATCTATATATATCTACATGTATATTGCTGCCACTAATGATTACTTTCATAGTCGATTATTTGGCTGGATTTTTGCGATTTAATCAGATTAAAAAAATTAAAAATAAATAACATCCTTAATTTAACATAAAATACACAAATGCAGTGTTACAAGTATAATCAGATGATGCTGATTTGTTGTTCTTGCCTATATTGGCTATTTTTGTACAGGAGAAGGAAAAAAATGAATGCACAAAACACCTGAATGAGCAGCTGCAGTCTAAAGAAGTGGAGCTTCTGCAAGTGAAATCTGAACTGGAAACACACCAAGGTACAGCATATTGCATGAACTGCATTTAATCTCACTAGATAGGAATATATCTACTTTTGACTTCTCTAAAATACGTGCATCATATTCTTCTACCCTGATAATCATAAAGCTTTTTGTTAACCCCTTTCAACTGGCTCTTTTTAAAGTACCTTAATGGGAGGTGTGGACACACTCCTGATCATGTAAATGATGTCACAGCCAATCACAGTGACCACATGATCAGGACCCATCCCTGGCTCCCGATCTTAAACGGTGAGCGGGAGCTATGAGAAATCCCCCACCACTCCAGTTCCCAAAACCGGACTCGCACAACATGCACATCCCAGGTGCAGGCTAAAGGGTGCGGTCTCGCCTCCTTTATCTCCATGATTAAGCCTAAGTAGTGAAACGCATTAGATTTGCTACAATGGTGTATATTTGTTGATTTAATGCAAGAGGACTCGTGGAGTGTGGCTGCTTTGGAAATAGTGACCGGGAGCTGTCGGAGACAGCTCAGTGCCTGTTTTGGGAAGGAGCTTCCAGTACTTAACCGTGGGCACATGTATGTGGCAGCTGGGCATTAAAGCCCACCTTCTTACAACAGCATGTATGCGTTAGCTGGTCAGCAAGAGGATAAAGAAAATCTAGTGCAATCATAGTGATGACACAATAGGAATGTGTGTTGGTGGAAAAAAAGGTGGGCCCAAGACGAGCCTAAAATGTCAGAGTTTTGCTGATCAGAACAACTGGAATTTAGGTGTAATGGCAGGGAGATGGAGGCTGCTGCATATATGTGCAGGCTTCTCTATTGTATTATTCATTGATTATACTTAAAGGAGAACTATGAGCTGAGTGCTTTTCACTCACCTCATAGTTCTAGCCGACCTGTGACAATGAGACTGTCACAGGTCGACTCAGTAGAACGGGAGGTGAGCGAACATATACCGGCGTTCGCTCACCTCTCGATCCTGTCATGGCTCTCTGCTGTGACAGGGGAGGGGCTGGATTCCCCCCGCTCCGATCCGCCAGCGCTGACTGGCGGATCCAACGGAGGAGGGGGCGGGTACAGCTGGCTCTGCCTCTAGATAGGCAGAGCCAGCTGTCACTCACGCAGCTGGGCGGATCTCAACATCGATGTCGGGATCCGCTCCGGCTGCGGCGTCTCAGTATATCGCGAGCTGTAGCTCACGGTATACTGAGCTTAGGGTAACGGGAGGACGCTAGTTTGTGTCCTCCCGTTACCCTAAGGAGAACTATGGGGAAAAGCCCTGACCCCATAGTTCTCCTTTAATAAAACCACATACCACTTCAATGTGCCTACCCCATCCACACCATCTGTTGTCATACCTGCTTACAGAGAACTGAGGGATTTGTAGTTTTTTCTTCCAAATATAATGGGGTTATTTGGCCATTTGAGAAACAACTAGTGCTTAGCAGAGTTCTTCTGTGAGTCTGAAGTATGCCTGAAAGCTCTGAGTAGTTTGAAACCGGAGAAAGAGGTTTGCTAATTGCTGCAGGTTTTATGTCTAAATTGAATTAGCAAAACATGACACAGATGTATTCATCGCTTAGTAGAAGAGCTCTGTTCAGGATGGATTACCATTTCTCTTTTTACAGTGATGAAAAGCTTAAGCAAAACTCCTACTGACTGGGAGATCGAAAAACTGAACAGCGAGTTGAAAATCCGGTCAGTGGAGCAAGAACTTAAATTGCTTCAGGAAGAATGCGGACGCCTCCGAGCGGAACTTCAAAGGACAAAGGTAATTGTCCATGTTGAGAAGTGTGCAGTGAAAGCTCGATGTGCATAAAGCCATCAAGCTTTATTGTGATCTCCGCTCTAGGCAGATGCTTTTTATAGAGGAATCAATTTCACTTCTCACAATTAGTCTCAGCAAATCTTTTACTTGTAAGACTATACATATGGATTGGAATACAAGGCTCAGCGACTGTAAGAGGTTAGTTTAACTGCTAGGAAAGCAGATAATAGTGAGGACTGTGCAGAAATGTTTTCCGATTTGTATGTTTGAATGGAACAGTCAGTGGTTACTGATGCGTTCAGACACATACTGTATGTATTAGACCAATATATGGAGATACGTTCCATGGGACCATCAGCTTTACAATAGTTCAATGTCAAAAGAGAAATCAAGCCAATCCTTTTGTGGCTGTACTTCTCTTTTGTGACCCAAAGTCAGCTAATAGCGGGCTATCAGCTGACTGATTAGTGGTTACATGACTGGTCAGTTCTTGGTCTTAGAGCATGGGGATAGCTGCAGCGTCCCATGCCAGCCCTAAGCATTGGGGGGAGTATGATTTACTTTCTAATACTTCTCCTTTAACCAGTTCTTAGACATGAAAATGCAATGAGATGGCCCTTCCCATGAAATCCAGAAAGTTAAGGAAACCAAGAGTTGCCACGCATATGCCCATTTGCATATGGGCATAGCGGGAATGCTCATTGAGGTGACATGTGTTCACGGGCATTTGTTTCCCATGTTTGGCTCGTGTCCATATTGGGTACCTGGATACGTGGAAAAGTAGCATGTCGCAAATTTGGCAAAATACATTCTGCTTTTTTTTCGTACCCATTCTCACGCGTGGGAAAAAAAATCTGTTTACCCAGTAATGGCAACACAAGCGTGTTTCATGTTTGCGCACGTATAGTGAATGCTAGCCGAAGCACGCACTTTCACGATACACCCTAGTGTGATTGGGGACTAATGGTTTTGAAGTCTTGTATCGATTTAATCATAAAATGCTGAGATGGCAAGCCAAAGCATTCTGGGGGCTATAAAATATCCCCTTTATCCGTACTGGTATTTTTTTCATTACTGCACTGGTAAATGTAGGATGCATGTGCAGTAAATTAGAACGCAAGACGTCATTTGTTACCATAACGCACTTCACTGTTCCCATTTCACATGCTGTTTTGACTATAAGCGATGCCAGCTGGAAGAGATAGTAGCCCCATCATACACTAGTTGATATCACAGGGTGGTCAGTTTAGTTTGCCTTTGGGAAACTCGACCCCAGCAAGAAGTGAGTTCATTTTAGGGGGGATATTTTTTATTTATTTATATTGCTATATATATAGCGCTGCCAGCTTACGTAGCGCTAACAGAGGGAAATAATAATTATTTGATCTGCCGATTTTGTAAATTTGCCCACTTACAAAGAAATGAAAGGTCTATAATTATACATAGGTGCATTTTAAATGATAGAGACAGAATATTAACCAAAAATCCAGAAAACACACATGATACAAATGTTATAAATTGAGTTGAGTTGCAGTTCAGTGAGTAAAAGAAGTATTTGATTCCCTACCAACCAACAATGATTCTGGCTCCCATAGACTGGCTATGCGGTACACAGATTAGTCCTGTCAATTTATGATGGTACTCCTAACGACGACTAGTTATGTATATAAAAGACACCTGTCCACAGAATTCTTCATCCATTCAAACATCAACCCAATGGGCAAGACTAAAGAGCTGTCATAGGAGGTTAAGGAAAAGATTGTAGACCTGCACAAAGCTGGAATAGGCTACAAGACTATCAGCAAGAAGCTTGGTGAGAAGGAAACAACTGTTGGAATGATTATTCGCAAATGGAAGGAATACAAAATAACCATCAATCGCCCTTGGTCTGGAGCTCCATGCAAGATTTCACCTCATGGGGTAAGGATGATCATGGGAGAAGTGAGGCATCAGCCCAGAGCTACATGGGAGGAGCTTGTGAATGATCTCAAGGCAGTTGGGACCACAGTCACAAAGCAAACCATTGGTAACACAATAGACCACCATGGATTGAGATCCTGCAGCGCCCGCAAGTTCCCCCTCAAGAAGGCACATGTACAGGCCCGTCTGAAGTTTGCCAATGAACACCAAAACGATTCAGAGAAGGATTGGGAGAAAGTGCTGTGGTCAGATGAGACCAAAATTGAGCTCTTTGGCATTAACTCGACTCGCCGTGTTTGGAGGAAGTAAAATGCTGACTAGGACCCTAAGGACACCATCCCTACAGTCGAGCACGGGGGTGGAAACATTATGCTTTGGGGCTGTTTCTCTGCTAAAGGTACAGGCCGACTTTGCCGCATTGAACAGCCAATGCATGGGGCCACGTATTGTAAAATCTTGGATGAGAACCTCCTTCCCTCAGTCAGAAAACTGAAGATGGGTCGTAGATGGGTCTTTCAGTATGACAATGACCCAAAACATACCGCCAAGGCAACAAAGCAGTGGCTTCAAGAAGAAGCACATTAAGGTTATGGAGTGGCCTAGCCAGTCTCCAAACCTTAATCCTATAGAAAATTTATGGAGGGAGCTGAAACTTTGAGTTGCCAAGCAACAGCCAAGAAATCTTAAGGATTATAGAAAAGATCTGTAAGAAGAGTGGACCAAAATCCCTCCTGAGATGTGTGCAAACCTGGTAACCAACTACAAAAAACGTCTTACTTCTGTGCTCATGTCATAGTCATGTTTTGCTTGGGGATCAAATACTTATTTTACTCACTGAACTGCAACTCAATTTATAACATTTGTATCATGGGGTTTTTCTGGGTTTGTGGTTGACATTCTGTCTCTATCATTTGAAATACACCTATGATAAAAATGATAGACCTTTCATTTCTTTGTAAGAGGGCAAACTTACAAACTCTGCAGGGGATCAAGTAATTATTTTCCTCACTGTGCACAGTACACATTCCCATCAGCCCCTGCCCTTAAGGAGCTTACAATCTAAGGTCCCTATCTCACATGGATACATATGATGGCCAATTTAGACAGGCGCCAATTAACCTTCGAGCATGTCTTTGGCGTGTGGTAGGAAACCGGAGTAGCCGGAAGAAACCCACGCAAGCACAGGGAGAACGTGCAAACAGTAGGGTGGAATCGACATGAGACCGAGTACGATCAGGGATGATCATTAACTTGTAGGATATTAACTACAATGATGTCAATTATCTAAACATTTAACTGTAATCTTTTAATCTTTGGAAATGTATACTGTTATCTGTAGTGTCCACCAGATGGCACCAAATTCAGCAGTATCACTAAAATAATGTTGATTTTTTTTCTTGCTTGGGTTAAATATGTTCATATTATAGCATGTACAAATAATATGTTTTTGTACATAACAGATTTATTTTTATCACTCATTTTGGCCATTAAAAAAATGTAATTCCTATTTTTTTCCCATCCAAAAGTATACACTGTTGAGGCATGCTGGGAATTTAATCATCTAAAAAAAGGTTTCCTTCCCATTTGGTCCTCAAATGTGATTTACTTCTGTCTACTGACAATAAAAGGCTAAGAAGTAAGTCATAGACTGAAAAAGCCTCTTTCTGTTTTTTTAATGGCCAAGCTAGGCAGATCATTAGTGGTCTAGTTGTTAGCATAATGGTATCGGCTGTACATTAGGCCAGTTATAACTGTAATCTGCTATGCTCACATGTCACTTTGCTTTCAGAGCTGCATGCACAAGGTGAACGGAGATATTATCATCTACAAAAGCAGAGTGTTTCTTTTTAGATAAAAGTTCTATTTGCGTGCATTTGGAGATGAAGCTACGCCCTCTGTGTTCTGCAGTTTTAACCTCATTTGCAAATTAGATGTTTTGCTCGTCTGCTTTTGCCTTAAAGCTGAACTCTAGACAAACGGCTGAAGCTGCAGCGGAAGCTACAAAGAATATGTATTGTGCTCAGCCAGTCTTGTGATGCATACCGGGCAGCAAGTTAAAGCCTAACTCCAGCCAAAATGTTTTTTTTAGACTTGAATAGAGTGGCTAAGAGTTAAAATTGCTGTTGGGTTTTTATTATGGTAGTCTGATTGGGAGCGTTCTTGCTTGTGTATGCCTGCAATGCTGGTGAGGTCATCACTTTGCTCTCTCCCTCTATAAACATGTTCTTACTGATGTCTGACTGTGCGAAGCAGTAGAGCTGTGGTTGGCTCAGACTGTTGATTTCCCCTCTCCCAGTTCTGCTGTGCAATGACTAAGGGAAGCTAATATCCCAATCTAAATAATATACAAATCCAAAGTAGGTATAGAGGGACTCGTTTTATTGTCAAAGTTTCGACTGAGCTCAATCCATCTTTATTAAGACACTTAAACACCTCTGTACATCTTTTTGTTTCAGTGTCTTGATAAAGATGAACTGAGCTTTGTCGAAACATTGACAATAAACTGCAGATGGTTTGACTTCTCTTCGCTGCAAGACCCATGAGTGCTTCTATACTGAGTGTAGGCAAACTCCAGCCCTCCAGCTGTGGTGCAACTACAAATCTCATTAGGCGTTGCAAGACTGTGACAGCCACAGGCATGAATCGCAGGAGCAGATTCACAATGGAATTTGTAGTTTCACCACAGGGGCAGAGTTTGCCTCTGCTCTACACATACTTTGGAGATATATCATTTTTTCTTTTTAGTAAATAAATAAGTGCGGCAACGGTGCTTTTATAACTGCTTTAAACCTCAGCTGATCGGTTGGAAGGCATTACAACAACATAAAAAAGGAAATATGCTGTTTACTATTTTGAAATGTTTATTTTTTTTAATGATTGCATTATTTTGTCTTCTAGACTATGACTGCAGACAAAAGCTTATTTGGTAATGAGTTTTATCAAGCCAATGATACAGAAAGGTAATGCTTTTATTTATTTATAATAGTTGAATTTGTTTATTATTTTACTCACACATTTTTATGGTTAGGTAATCTGTATTCTAATGAACTAAGGTTCTTTCCGACACTTAAAGGAGAACTATGAGGTGAGTGAAAATCAATCATCCTCATAGTTTAATGACAATGAAACTGTAACACGCCGTCTCTATAGATCGGGAAGTGAGCAAACACATACCATCGCTCGCTCACTTCTCGATCATCTCCCTGCAGAGAGCCGCTCCCTGCAGGGATTCCTCCCCTCTGATCCGTATTGATATCCGTTGCTTTGGTCATCAATACGGATGTCCAAAGCAACACTTGTTTTCTCACACAGGGAGTCTACTATTTCCAAGTCGCAGCCTGATATAACGACACATTTCAATACATTTCATGACTGGAGGAACGGACGGGGGAGGGGGGGGTAAGAGCTGACTCTAGATAGGCAGAGCCAGCTGTCACTCACGCAGCTGGGTGGATCTCGACAGTAATGTCGGGATCCGTCGCGGCTGCGGCTATCTCAGTGTACGGCGAGCTGTAGCTCACGATATACTGAGCTTTGGGTCACAGGAGGACGCTAGTTTATGTCCTCTCGTGACCCTTTAAAAGAACTATGGGGAAAAACACTTAGCCCATAGTTCTCTTTTTTAAGTATCGAATACATGTATCGAATTTGGCCGGCTCCCGATCAACCAGCAGAAATTCTCATAGTGGGTACCGCTGTTGGCACCCTTCCACCTGGAATCCTTTGATCGCCTGATCAAAGGAAGAGGTTAGAAAATTCTCTGCTGAATCTGTTTCATTATCTTTGTTGGGTAGGTTGAATGAAGAAAATATATACGTATATAACTGGCTTTAGTGAAAAATCAGCCTGGTTATCATGGATAGTATAGGCTCCTGGGTTGTCTCAGGCCCCTGTATTAGGTTCTTTTTTTTTTGGACTGCAGCACAATAATGCTGTGAGTATTGCTCACCTTTTATACAGGCTTCTTCTAACAGTTAATAGTGGATGCTAACCAAGTGCCACTTTGGGGTCATTGGCAGCAGCTTAACGATTCATTCTTGAATGGATCAATACGGATGTCCAAAGCAACACTTGTTTTCTCACACAGGGAGTCTACTATTTCCAAGTCGCAGCCTGATATAACGACACATTTCAATACATTTCAGGATTTACTGGGAAGTCACTGCACACTTAGTGGAACCTTACCACATTAAAATAATACAACCCCAATTCCCAAAAAGTTGGGACGCGGTGTAAAATCTACATAAAAACAGAATTCAATGATTTGCAAATCTCATAAACCCATATTTTATTCACAATAGAAAACATATCAAATGTTTAAACTGAGAAAATGTACCATTTAAAATAAAATTAAAAACAGGTTGATTTTGGAATTTATGGCAACAAAACTTCTCAAAGTTTGGACAGGGCAACAAAAACCTGGAAAAGTAAGTGGTACTAACAAGGAAGAGCTGGAAGAACATTTTGCAACTAATTTAGGTTCATTGGCAACAGGTCAGTAGCATGATAGGGTATAAAAAAGAGCATCTTACAGAGTCAGAGTGTCTCAGAAGTAAAGATGGGCACAGGTTCAGCAATCTGTGAAAAGCTGCGTCTAAAGATTATCTGTTTTTATGTAGATTTTAGACTGCGTCCCAATTTTTTTGGAATCAGGGTTGTACATTTTAAAGAACATGGGTCCCTCTGGGGATATAATAGTAAGAACTTATCAACCATGATGTATTCATCACAGTTGGGTAACAAGTCGAATGCAGCAATAACAAACTGCACTTCACAGCTGATGGATCTGATGCTAAAAACTAAAGTAACAGATTCAGCAATCCAAGAAAGACATTAAAGTGAAACTAAGTACAGAATACAAAAATGAGTCCCCTTATAATAAAGTTTTATTACCTGCTAACCCTGTCGGTAGATCTGTCTTTTCCACTTCCTTCCCGTAATAAGGGGAAAATGCTGTTCGTTCTGCAGTGAAATTGGGAAATTGTTGAGCAGCTTTGTCAACCTGTGGGACAGGGTGGGCTTAGATGGACGTGTAGTTTTAAATTAACTTATTAGAGCCGGTTCACACCATATCCAGTGCATTCCAGTATGGTTAGTGGCCGGAACGCACTGGATCACATAATTAAAGCCTCCCGAGTTCTGGGGCGGTGTGATCGCAAAAATAGGCATTGTTGTACCACGCGTTCTGGTGCGGGCGATCTAAAGGGGAAAGTGGGAGGGGGGGGGGGCATGGTGGTGCTATTCATGTCAATGGCACCACAGACACGCCTCCCACCCACAGTGCGATCGCCAGCACCTATGACTTGTGGTACAGCAAATGCACTATTTTTTGCGATCGCACCACATTGGAATGCAGGCTCTTTTCCCTTGCGTTCTTGTGCGGGCGATTGCAGTGCTATTGACATCAATGGCACCACCACACACCCTCCTGCCCCAGAACATGTAAGGCTTTATTTGTGCAATCCAGTGCATTCCAGCCACTAACTGTGCCAGAACGAACTGGATATGGTGTGAACTGGCCCTTAGGAGAAAAACAAAATAAAAGCCCAACACCAGCTAACATTTTTAAGCAACACATGTTTTTTTTAACCCCTTCATGACTGAGCTAGTTTTCAGGTTCTGTTCTTTTTTTTTTCTTGTCAGTTTATATCAAGCAATCACTATGACAGCTTGATAAATTAACTTTTTTATTTTATTTTTGGCTATTAGGCTGATCCAAACTTAGGAACAGCTAATAATAACCTTAGAGACTGATCCTGACTTTAGTCAGATTCAGATCTCACTAAAAGCTCTTTGATCGTGCCTAGACGATCAGAACTGATACATTTCACTCAAAAGACACCGGGCACTGACCCCCCCACACAGTGTGGAATACCAGAGGGCCGGGAGAGAGACCGGGCATTTTTCATATTATCTACATTCCAAGAAAAAGAAAAATTGCTCACTAGAACGGGACAAAAGCAGAAATCTAGGAGTCGATATGCAAAAAGAGCACCATGAGTTGAGAAGAAATGATTACAGTTGTATTCTATTATTACATCTTCAGCTAACCCTTTATGTTGGTCCATTATGTGAACTTAATGGCCTCTTACAGTCTATGATGTAATAACTAGGATTAATTAAAGATACAAAACAGGTCTTAGCTGTGATGGGTAGAATGCTTAACATTGTATAGATTTATGTTTTTACATCATTGATCTGAAGGGTATTGTATTCCTTCATTATGTATAGTCTAGCTCTAGAGGCTCTGACACTTCATTTTAACTTTATTTTGGACATGGTTTGGTTGGAGGACCAGTGCGTCTTTACACATGTCAACCTCCTTCCTCATCCTAGGGACAAATCTCATCCCTGCCATGAATTTACTAGAGCTAAAAGAAACTGATCTATTTTCAAGGCACTGGCTGATGTGAATGCCACCATCAGAAGAAGGATAGCTAACAGGGGTTACCTGTCTTGGATGTTAGATTGTGTGATCCATATTGTGGAGGATAAACCTAGAAAGAGATGTTCATGCATAAAAATGAGTAGTGGTAATCTATCCTTTACATACAGTATATTAGAGCTGCAGCTAACGATTATTTTCAAAATCGATTAGTTAGCCGATTATTAAGTTCGATTAATCGGTTAATCGGATAAACAATAAAATACATTTTTAAAATTGGATGCGGGCGGGCGGGTCTGGCAGCGGTGAGCGTGAGGTGGGGAGGAGGTGCGGCGCGCAGCGTGTGTGGAGCCGTGAACAGGGCCAACTGATCGGAAGCCGATTAATCGATTATTGAAAAAGTTGACAACTTTTTCAATAATCGATTATGTCGATTAGTTGTTGCAGCCCTACAGTATATTCAGTACAGTGTTTAATATGAGCAATTTTGTTCATTTGGGTCCCATATAGAAACCTTTCTGATCAAACATCAACAGATTGTTCTATCGAGGGGTCAGCAGATGTCGCTGTTGTGCTTCCTGGCATGCAGGGTCTAGTTTTAGTTCCACAATATCTGATAAGAATTTTAATAATTGTAATTTAATTAATTGTAATACCCGGTGGGTGGTGTATTTGTTCACCCACATTGTATGTTAGGTGCAATATGTGAATTGTGCCATTTAGCGTCTGAAAAAAGGGATATCTGTACATTTTTGTGATTCTGATACCATTGGAGTCCGTAACCTTTCCAGTGTCTCAAAAACCTTTTTCATCATTCATCTAGGGACACAGGATCAGTATTAGTTTGGACTGGTGCCTTTAAGAGAAATAGTCTAGAATAGGGATGTCCAGATACCAGTGCCGATACTTGGGTTGCAGCTGAGACCTGGCTCTGGTACTCCACCGATGTCCTGCAATCATTAGTCTGTATTGTTTTAGAAAAACTGTCACATGACAATAAACAAAAATGTATCAGTACTTGTATCTGTGAGTACTTGGACAAGTATCAGTACTTGTGCTTGGAAAAATGGTATTGGTGCATCCCTTATATATATTTATAAAAAAATAATAATGCATTAAAATGGGAATGTACAAATCCCAGGAGCTCCACATGTGCCTTAAAAATGACAGCTGCCTCCTAACTATTGATTTTTTTCTCTAGGCTAGTCCTGGAGCTAGAAAAGTGTCTGTACTTGTACTTGTACCGAGTACTGTACTTGGTATCTGAATTTCCCTAGTCTAGAAGATATGTTGTCTGCACACCATTCTGCTTCAGAATATCATCTTTTTTTCATATTCCTTTAGCATGACATGTGAATGCAACGTTTTGGAGCCTCACAGGACCCCTTCGTCAGGCAAAATGTCATTGGCCAGCCAAGTATAACCTCTCCCACTCCCATGATGTTTCAATTTTCTGCTCATCTCCTAGGAGGATGGACATATTTTCTCTTTAGAGAAAAGTTTTTTTTCTAGAATCTTTTTTACTTTTTTCAAGATTGACTTTCTGTTTGTCTTTCTGGAAGGTTCCCATAAAGG